GCCCCTCACACCACCTCATCCTCCCGCTCGCGCAGGCCCCGCCGCGCCGAGGCGGAACGACCCGCCTTTGCCCCACCCCCCGAGGGACCACAGCCAATGGCAGCGCGCGGCACTGCCGGCGCGGGCGGGTGAGCGCCAATAGGAAGTCGCCTTAGCGGGGCCGGGGCGGTGCGAGCGTTTCCCGCCCTGCGGAGGCCTGAGGGGCCGGCGGGCCCGGCCCGGGACGCGGCCTTTGCCTTGCGCCGCCCGAGCCGGTTCGTTTTCTCTGCCGTTTCCTCAGCGACACGGCTTGCTGAGGCGAGGCAGAGGGCGGTGATAAGTCACTGCCTCAGACGCCAAGAGCTGAGGGGCGAGCAGCCCGGTGACATGGGAAGTACGTAGGGAGACTCGGAGCTGGAGAAATAAAAGCTTTTAAACCCACCCGTGGGTTTCATTCTGACGGCGCAGCCCACAGAGGAGAAAGCTGCAAGGAAAGTAGGGAAGTCTTCAGGAACTGGTGGTAGTCACCATGAAAAATTCAACTGGAAAAAACCCATGCTTCGTAATGAATGAATAAAGAGAAGCCAGAGACACCAGAATGCAGTCTGAATGGAGACGAAGAGAAAGGAGAAGGCAAGGAAGTGGGATATTACACTGGCTCCTGCCAGGGGAGTTGAGCAGATGAGTCTCTTTTACATAGTATGGAATCAGAAGCTAAAAAGCATTTTCACATGGTATGTGAAGCTGTAATCCCGCCCACAAGCCGAGTATATTTTTATTTCCTTCCTGTCCTGCAAGCATGTTTCCAAAGTCAAGCACTAGCTTGCTCTTTCTCCACGCTATTTCATTTTCTCTCCTCTCTCCTCAAAAATCCACGTTGTTGAGCAGATAACCCAGGGCACACTCATCCACTGCTGAGCTCTGAGTCTTCTCAAGGCTTTGCAGTCAAGCCCACAAGCTTCCCTGTTCTCAGTCCTCTCACTATTGTCCCAACCTCACCGTCTTTGCCAGAATTTTGCCCTGTGAAGGGAGGCAACACTGAGGAAGCTCCCAAGTGGCCCCCTGCATGGATTACTTTCATGGGGAAAAGTTATGAGACAGTTTTAACCTATGACTTTAATCATTTCAGCTGAACATTGTATGGGCATGATTTCAGTATAAAATTACTAGCTTTAGTGTGCTTTTTCAGTACAAAAAGCTAAGGAAATTGAATCTCATATTGCAAATATTGCAAATGAAGATATGCAGACTATTATCTTCTGCACAGGACTTTCTATCTTGCTATCTTGCTTCCCAGCTTCCCAATCTGTATCTCTGATTTTGCAGTTCTGGAGGTTTAATGAAACACCAACTTTTCAGACTCAGAAAGCGATGACATATGTAAATGCCATAAACTATTCTTTTTAATTGTCTTCTTCCTCTGATAGACTTTGGCCGTTGAAAAAGTGCCAGGGGGAGGGAAGTAATATCTCCAGAGGGCTGGGCTTCCAGCAAAAAACCAGTTTTGAACTTCAGATAGGTCTAGAAAGATCCAGTAGACGCTGGACGCTGTGGACGCTGGTGTTTTGTCAAAAGCGAAACCAGCAACAAAGTGTGTTTCATTTCTGGAGAGAGGGAGGAGGCAGAGGAAAAACCATAACACGCTCTGGATGCTTTGTTTCCCATTTCTGCTGCACATCATTCTGGGACTTAAATATTTAAGGATTTAAAACTGAGATTTCAAATATTGGCATTTTAACCCAGAGCTAAGAAGAAGAGGAGGGGTAAGTCTTTTTCTCTGTCACAGCAGGGGAGTCTGAGATCTCAGCAGTCAGCCAGAATGTCCTGTTGTAGCAAGCTAGATGGGGGCTCGTGGAACTGAATGGGAAAATTCCTCTACTTGCTAGTAAAATTTAGCCCACACTAACATCCTTGCTGCTTTAGTTGTACCATAACTCAAAGCTACAAGGAGCAGAGCTATGTTCCTCAGCAGAGCTAACTCAGAGGAGAGGCAGACAAGGCAGAAAATTTGTCTCCTGTATCAGATCCGGAGGAGATGCTTGTTGGAGATTTTGTGCCTTGCAGCTCTCTTGGATTAATATATGGCCACACAGAGGGCAAATCTGTGCTACTGGAAATAAGCTGTGTTCCTCTCACAGTCGAGACTTCTTCTGGGCACACTTTCCTTTATTTCTAAGAGCTCTTGTACCACAGATGTGTTTTGTACCAAGGGGGCTGGATTTAAGGAACTGGCTTAAACGCGATGCAGGTGCAGTTTGCCGCCATTTCAAGGAGTTTCCCTGCAGGCTGAGTGACAATTGGCAATGAGCCAAAATTCAGCTGCCATACTAGCAAAGGTGCCCAGATAGAGCTGGAAGGGTTGGTTGTTAATCAGTAGGATTACTGGGTTCTCATGATCGGGTAAGGTTTAGCACAGCCTTTTCTCAGTCATTATAGGGGAGGAGGAGGGCCTGGCTGTAGAGAAATTATTTGAGGCTGCTTCTGTGTTCAAAGGGACAGATGGCAGCAAGGTCCCCTACATCCCCGCATGCTCAAGGACAGAAAAATAAACACCTGGGGACAAATTTCGGTTTTAAGCCAGCACTCTATTTTGAAAGCAGAAAAAAAATCCCTATTGCTCTCATCTCTGTGACTTGGTGTATTTATTGTTCAAAGGATGGCCTCTGTTTAGTTAATGTTTTTTGAAGTCTTTGGAAGATTGATATGGTTCAGCATAAATGATAAGCAATTTTTAAACAATTGTTTCAGACCCAGAATGGATCTTGAAGATGATCAACAACAGCCGAAGATCAGGGTTAATTTAGCAACAAAGTATCCTGAAGTAGTTTTGTGTGTTGGAAAAATATGTTTTGGTGAAAAAGCAAGAAAAAAGATACCAAAAAATTCAAAACAAGATCAAAAATACACCCTTGCCTGTGCAGTGTGTGCCTTGCTGAACTCTGGAGGAGGTGTCATAAAAGTAGAGATTGAAAATGAAAACTACAATTTAGAGAGAGATACAATCGGATTAGATCTAGAAGAGACTTTTCGGTCTCTTCTTTTGTTTCCAGACTGGAGAAAATACCTGGACTTTGAACAGCGAGATAATTACCTTTTCATTTTTATTAAAACCTGGAGCAGTGAAAATTCATCCTTAACCTCTGCAAGTGGAAAGCCACGTATCTGTAGCCTGAGTACTGGGCTGCACGCAAAATGTGGTGCATCTCTTTCCCACATGAACTCCACGGAAGCTGTTTTATTCCTAAAAGGAAAGCAAGATGAAGCCAGGAGAGAGCTTAGCCTGGGACCACCTGGTAAAATCAGGAGGATGGTGGCTATTAAGGGAAACATAGGTATTATAAATAACACTGTTGCTGAGTTGTTTAATAGGGACCAACTGCGACAGGGAGAGACATTGACTTTCACAGAGTCAGGAGATGTGGAATTTAAGCACTATTCAACTGAAAACTTTTTTACTCGTGTCAAAGAGATGTTACCTCAATATATTGCTGGATTTGCAAACACAGCCGGCGGGTATTTATGGATCGGTGTGAGTGATGGCGGCAGAGTGGAGGGATTCAGCAGTAATGACGAGGACCTTGACAGATTAAGTTTCGTAATCAATTCCATTAAAAAAAAATTAACCCCCTTCCATTTCTGCGAGAATGGAGATATGCACAACATAAGTTATGAACACAAAATCTTGAAAGTATACAGCGAGGCTGGAGATCACTGTGGTTACGTCTGCGCTATAAAGATTCAGCCATTTACTTGTGTTGTGTTTTCTGAAGACCCGGACTCGTGGCTAGTGGAAGGCAGCACCATCAGGAGACTGAGAGCAGACGAGTGGGCTGAGTGGATGACCGCTGCTGATCCAGGTCCAAAACTGGGACAATCCTGTTCCATATTCCATACTTCCTTTTATTTTCTTCCTCCTAATCTAGCAGTGTTGTTTGCCGTAGGTAGTCTTACCTGATTTTCAGGATTCTTTGGGGACTTGACCAAACCAGCCAGTTTGACTGCTTCAAGTCCTTGCTAAATACCTGTCTTTCTGCTGCTTGCACTCCTTAAAGCTTCTTCAGGATGCAGTCCTGGTGACTAGCAGTTTATTAATACCAATGTTAATGCCTGCTTTTGCAGAATGAGCTCTCCATGCCTCAAGTTCACTGCTTTTGAGGTTAGACCTCACTGCACATGATTTTTTACATAATTGTGATAGTCCAGGGCACTTGTCATTTGCTAATTACCATTTGCTTTCAGGCTTAATCTGTACTTTCTCTTCTGCCTTTTAGGGGCATTCTCTGCTGCTGCTGCCAGTCTAAAATAAGCTGAGAGCTATGGACATATAAATTGTTCATTGGCCAGTTCTTGGGCAATGAAAGGGGTATCACTGACAGAGTTAGAGGTCACAAGAGCAGCTAGTGAGATAAGGAAACCAAGAGCAGCTCCACGGTCCATGATCTGACCCTATTCTGTTGCTAAGCAGCTGCTGAAACGTGAGTTTCCAGGTTTGTGTCTATGCACTGCATTTGTTATTTTAAAGAAGAACAAAAGATTTAAAACCAGGGTGAGGACAGCTTGGGGCTCTTGTACTGAGGGACAGCAAATGCTCATGCTGCATCACATGTTTTTATTTCTTTTTTTTCCAGATCTTTCAAAGTTTTCTGAAACCTTTAGGCTAGAGCTGAGTCTGACAGAGGGGTCACCTCTTACCAAGCCTGTTTATTCACACAAGGGCCTTGACAATGTTGATTATCTTTGTGAGCAGCTGTTTCCAGGTAGGTCTGCACATTGCTTTCACTGTCTGATAGGTTTACAACATGAATCTCAAGGGCATGGTCAAGTTCAAAGATAAGTTTGAAGACATTCTTTAAACAGGTGAAAGAGATGGAAATAGTTTGCAGATCTGACAGCAACATTGCATTCAGATACCTGATGACCCCCTTCCCCAGGGACTGATCTTCTGCCAGCTATTGACATGTGTCCATGACAGAGCTCAGCTAGCTGAACTTCTGTGGGGACCAAGCTCTGCCATGCCAACACCTTTTCACAATCCAGTGAAAAATGGAAAAGACAGGAGGAGAACGTCACTTGGAATCAGCCCGATGTAAATACAAAAATTGACTGGGCCTGGGATGAGAGTGGAGATTCTGCTGCCGAGTACAGTCCAACAATTCTGTAGCACTGCAAGATCAGCCAGGTGACTGGGGGCTTTTGTCTTGAGCCATTATTGCTTCTTTGTTTACTCACCAGGTCTCCTAAACAAGGTTGGGAACAGGTGGTCCTGTGCTGGCATTTTTAGCAAAGGGACTGAGACCTGGGTAGGATTGAGGTCCCCAAGGAAGTAGTCTTTGCAAGATAATCTGGAAGCACATGGAGTGGTTAAGGAAAATTCTGAAGCAAGAAAGGTATTTCAGGTAGCTATGGTCTTGTGTATGTAGCCTCCCACCAATATTAATTTGCACAGAATCGATTATCTTAGAGGGCTGGATTTGCATATCTTATACCAACACTAACTGTTTCTTCTGCTTTGCCTTGTTAGTGAAATCTCACAGCATCATATATACTCCAGAAAAACTCAATGAAGATCTCATCCAAGAGCATCCAGAGTTGTATATTTTAATGGAAAATCAAGTGACACAGCTTTCTGAGGGAGTTCTTATATTTTCTAGAAGCTGGGCTGTTGAGGTCGGCTTGTCAGAAAACCAAGACATAATATGTGATGTTCTCCTAATAGCCACAGGTAGACCACCTATCCTCTATACAATCTGTAAGCGTCATATCTCAAAGGATTTGTTTGAATATTCAAGACGCATAGCCTGGAAGCTGAAGGAGAAATTAGTCAACACTGGGGGCTATATTCACAAATTGTGTGTAATACCAAAGCTACTGACTTTGTCTCCCCAAACTAACTGTGGAGAAGAATGCGATCTGAATATTCAGGAAATGTATCCCCAAAACTACGGCCTAATCAACAGTGTCAACCTGAAGGCCCTCTTGCATGCTCTCACAGTAGCTCTGCTGACTTTCAAGTCCTTTTTAAGTGACCTCGTTGGTTTTGAGTTTTTGAACCTCTTAACCGTCAAACAATACCAGCTGCTGTCAGAAAATCTTCACAAAACTAAGAAGCTGTATGTTTATGGTCTACCAGGAACAGGAAAAACTATAGTGGCCCTGAACATCATCCAGAAAATAAGAACTATGCTGCAGTGTACACAAGAGGAAGTTCTTTACATATGCGAGAACCAGCCTCTGAGAGATTTTGTGCGGTAAGTCTTTCCTCCAGTTATTCATTTCAACATCCTGTTATTTAACTAGCATTTTTAAATAGCTGAGTAATGATTATTTGGTATGCAGTTTGGTCCACCACCATTGCAGTGTTTGAAGAATGTATTTGGGATGTGTTTTTAGTAAGGCTCAATTCTTTTCTTGACATCCTGAGCATCTACTAATAAATATGGCTTCAGTAGCATGGGCTTTCACTTTGCTCTGATCAAGTATAGCCAGTAGTTTGCAATGCAGAGATTGTTATTAATCTACTTGTATCTCTTCTGTAGGCAGAAAAATATTTGCCAAGCTGTGACAAGAGTAGCCTTTTTGAAGACAAGTTTTAGTGGTGTGAAGCACATCATAGTTGATGAAGCACAGAATTTCCAGGATGGGGAAGGTGATTGGTATAAAAAAGCCTTGACTCTAACTTCATCAGAACATCTCCCTGAGCCTGGCTTTTTCTGGATTTTCTTGGACTACTTACAGAAAAGTCACACCTTCAAAACCGGTCTTCCAGGAGCAGCACAGCACGATCCTGTTGAGTCACTAACCAAAGTGGTTCGTAATGCTAACAGGATCTATAGCTACCTAAAAGAAAATATGGAAATGATTGTAAAGGATTCTACCCTAAATATTCCTAGCCAACGTTTGGAAAGCTTATTACACAGAGCCACGTGTGCTCACACTGTGCAAGGTTGTGTTGAACAAGTAAGCAAACTAGGCACAAATGGAATAGCAAAGTATGTGGTAGAACGTTGTTGTACATATCTTAAAAGGGGTTACTCTGAGAAAGATATTGCTGTTCTCTGCTACACAGATGAAATAGTAGGAATATACTCTAAAAGACTAGCATTAGAAATTGGGAAGTCAAAGTCAAATATATCATTTAAAAAAATGGATGGAAGTCTAAAGGACCATGCTATTCTTGACAGTATCCGTCGTTTCTCTGGCTTAGAAAGAACCATTGTGTTTGGTATTATTCCTTGTAGCTTTGCATTTCACAGGGAAATTTTAAGAAATATTTTGGTCTGTGTAGCATCCAGAGCTAATTTAAATCTACACTTGATATTTGAGAACTGAGAACAGGTAACCACACAGGATTCCAACAAGGCTCTAGGAAGTCGATGGTTATGTATGTTTGAAATCTATTACTGTATATCTGAAGTAGAAGAATTTCCCTTGTAATGGCTGGTCCCCTCTAAAAGCCCAGACATTCTTGGGAATGTGTTTTAAATCAAACGCAAGGTTTTAGTACTGCAGAGAAAGGAGTTGAATGTCAGTAGAATTACGTCATTCCTTGAAGGCTCCTTTCAAGGACTTGCAAAACCTGACGCTCAGCTTTTGAGAGCATGCAGGTGCATTGCCAAGTGAGAGCCACTGTGGCAGGACAGGAAACTGGAAGACTTTCTGGCCTTCACCAGCTCACTCCCATACTCACAGTACTGCTCAGAAAAGTTACCAAGCAGCAGAGGCATTGGGTGTTCGAAGCCATTCTTTCAAAAGACAGCCTCTATTCAGCTATTTAGGAAAGTAAAAACAGGAGTTTCTGTCCATGTTTTAGCTAGGAAATACAAATAAATGGCTTTTACAGAAGCAGTTTCCCCACTCAATTTCAGCAACAGACAGTGTAGGTTAGAAGAACGCAGTTGCTCCAAAGAGGAGCAAAGTGGTAGAAGGAAAACTTTGCATAAAACCACCCTTAGACACCAATGCCATTTTTTTGTCTTGATTTCAGACATGCTGGTTAGATAAAATTCTCTATACACAGTTAGATGCAAAATACTTTTGACAGACAGATCCAAAATTCCTAAAACTGGGTATCCAAAATTTCAACCAAAGGCTGGCTGAAAACAAACCATATTGTTTTCCACCACAGAATGACCTGTGGTTCATTTGGTTTGGAAGAACAGTCTGATATCCTCCTAGTGCGATTATAAAGCACCGGTGATATAACCGAATTGTGGTTACAGTAAGAAGAAGACATTGTACACAGTTGGAATCACCCTCCAAATAAACTCGCCTCTAGATTGTCAAACCTATTAGCTTCAAAATAGAATTCTTTTTCCTTAATCAACATGCAAGGAAAGGCTATCCGCCTGGTTCCTTTCATAATCCCCAGATCTCAACTTTTAAATCATGACCTGAATGTAAACAGTTTTAATAAAGTTTAATGTGAGTGATGTAGTATACTTCACATTTGCTAGTAGCCATGGTTAATGATTATGCTAGTAGCTATAGTTACCATATAGGAACAATTGTGAGGTCTTGAAGCTTGGTCAAGCAGGAAGAACAAGGTTCAATCTCCAAACCCTAGAAAATAGGTAGAATGCCCTGCACCATGAAGAGGATGCCTGGGGCTATGTTGAGGATGAGTTATTTGACAGCCTGGCAAAGTGACTATTCGATTACTTAACTTCTCAATGAAACTAAATTTTGAGTGTCCTGAAAGTGAACTACCTTCATTATAATACTAAAAACCACACCCACAGGTCTAAAAGACCCCTGCTCAGTTAAGACCCTTCCTCTGAGCAAGCATAGTTGTAGAAGCATTATGTAAGCTGTATTATAATAAGCTGTATTATAATTGTATGTTAATCACTAACTAAACAGTATCTAATAGACATGTTTGGAAAAGTACTAACCTCTGATTTTTGTGTATAAAAGAAGCATGAAAACCTGCTGCTGGCCTGCTTGATTTGTGGAAAAGTCCACTGAGCACCCAGGCCCGAATAAATACAATACTTCTTCTGAACGTGGTAAGATTGGGTTATTGTACACTGGGCACAAATCCACTTTTCGGATGACATGATGACCAACTGGTGTGTTTGCTTCTCATTTGGTTTCTTCCATAAATGAGGTATTTTCAGCATTCCCTGTTGAGCCAAACACTGTGCCCTGGTGTGAACCTCGGCTTAACCCATTAGGGCCACTTCCTCATGCAGCCTTTCATGTTCATTGGAGCAGGGCTGGATATTTTGCAAATGGTGAAAATTCAGCCTGTGCCACGATTATTCCAGCTTCCTGGGTATGATGCAAATGGGAGTTGCCTTAGATTCTCCTTTTGCTTAATAAAAGCAGAACAGGAATTCCACATAGAACAAAGTAGTGACTTTATTAAGAGTTTATCCACCATCCTCATCATACTTTGGCACACCACTTAAGTCTGTTTAAAAATACCACAAATTAACAAAAAAAGCACACAGCTAAAACGCAACCTATATTCTGACCACAGGATAGAAGGCATTTAACCCTCCCTGTTCCACCATTGCTAGGAATTCCAGAAGTGCCAGGAGCTGTAGATGGTTGCAGGAGAGATTTCAGCTCAGTTGAGCTTCCTTCCAACAGCCCCTGGCACATTTCCAACACAACCAATTCTCTTACAGCTGTGCCTTAATTATCAGATGAATGGGGGGGGGGGGAAAAAAAGGTTTTATGCCATTTGGGATTTACGCAGATGGGCAATTTCCAAATTTCCCAGGCAAATGTTCTTCATACAGTTTCTGATTCTCCAAAGTTGTCCCTGAACTATCCCATTCTTTGACAACAGCACTAGATTTTCCTCATGGCTCTTGCTTTTCCACATTTCTCAGTAGCTTTTTTTTTTTTTCCACATTCAGCCTTTTTTGGTGGTTTTCATTTCCTCATGCCTGAGAGATTGGTTTGATCAGCCCATAATCCATGCACCTTGTGAGGCAATCACGTGCTATGTTAATGATATGCTGCTTCTTGGGGTGATCTTCTTGCTTGCCAAGGTATGTCAGAATCTCTAGGAGCTCCGTCTCCACCAGCTTCTTTGCTAGCTCTTTGTCAGCACTGATTAAATTGAAAGCGATGACCAGTCCTCGGTGCTGTACTTCCATGTTATCGTGCAAGCAGAGCCTCTGCAGGATTTCAAGCCACTGGGTGGTCTTCAAGGGAGAGAGAGATCATTAGTATTGATCTGAAGAATACCTCAACCAAGAGTGCAAGTTTGGCAAGGCATTTCTCAGCAGAAGGAAATGTGGGGACTCACCTCTTCAATACTCATGTCAGGTATGATTATTTGATTCTTTAAGGAAATCTGACTTTTGAACCTAATTTTTATTATGCTAAAAAGTCAGAAGCTTTCACAGCACTAGCACCACATGAAACACGTTTAGGCTGCTGCATAGTCTCTGTGCAACAATCTGATCAGAGTATTGACACAGCTGAGATGACCAGAAGCAGACCACCCACTTCCCACACTGATTTTCCAGAGCTCTTCCTTCACCTTAATCATTTTTATTCTGACAAGCCCCAGTGTCCAACATCTACATGTGTGCAACACAACAGGGTTATTGAGTTCTCAACCACAGCTCTTCACTGATATCCAGCTATGCAAGGTCTGAGTTCTCAGGACCTACAGACCTGTGCAGGAAATGGAGATGTTTGGGGATCTGTAAAGCTCAGTAGGTTACCTGTCAAGTTCTTCTCATTTCTGAGTGAAACAAGGTTTGGATTTCAGGTTTTAACACCAAAAGCTTTAAGGGCCTATAAAATAATAATCAGCATTCCTAACCTTGCTTGACAGTTAGCATCCTGGACTTAGTTTGAGGAATGGCTATATAGAAATGTTTCCACTCTGAGATGAAGTCTGATACAAGGCAGGCCGATTTACCTTCTGCAGGGGTGGACGAGGAGCATGCACACCCAGGCCTCAACATCACCAAGTTCCTCACTGTCAAACTAATGGACTACATCTCCCTTTTGAGAGGCATTTTCATGAACTGAAAATGCCCCTTCAAGGGTATGTCAACACTGCCAATAATCAGACTTTATGTCTTACCACTTCAGTCATTTTAGAACAGAGTTTCTTTTGTGCTGCTGTAAGCATGGCCAAGGCTCCCGCCGCTGCCACCTGGACTTTCTCATCATCCTCACCACACAGTAACACCACTAACTTCAGCCGGTCATTTCCATCAGCCACAAACCGTTCTTGAACCTAAAAAAAAGCCCGCCACGATATCCAGAAATAACACATTTAGGAATGCCTCATCCCTGGGGCTCTTGAACTGGGGCACACAGTCAAGTGTGAGAAGCCCAGTGAGTTACCTCCTTGTTGACCACCAGGTTGCACATGCACTCTGTGGCTGCCTGTCGAAGTTGGTCGTGATTCTCAAACATATAGTTTTCAATATCTGGCAGGGCCCTCTCTTTGACTATCTTCATCCTGTGTTGAGGAACAGTCAAATAAAATGCATCATGGGACAAGCAATAACCAACTTATAAAATATTAACTGCAGACAGAGAAGGCTTTGAAACAAATCAGTGTCTGCAGCACTGGAGCTCAAGATACGTGGTTCATTCTCTACCTAATGCAGATTAGGTTCGTATCTTTCCTCTTTCTAGAGGAAAATGTGCCACTCTCCTCTTTATGGCTATTTTATTAATCTTTTAGTTTTGAGACCTTTGTAGTTCTGCCAAAGGTAGCTCAAACTGACCAGATTTGATAGTCCTACAAAAAAAGGTGTTGAACTCAAATTCACATTCACTCCTGGGGACGAAAGAAGGTCAAAAAGCAGTTAAACTCACCTAAGTTTATCACTTCTTCCTGAAAAGTTAGTGAGACCTAATAGAGCCTCATAATTCTGGAGGCCATCTCTCTCGGTGTTCAGCAGGCTGACAAGGGGCCTCACCACCTCGTACACCTAAGAGGAGAAGGCATGTCATGGCTTTTCCAGCTCTCAGATCTTGGCAGTTTTTCTTTATAAAGAAGGAAGGAATTATAAAGATTTTTATTTTATTTTTAAGCTTACCCTTTCCCCTGGGAATGCCATGTCTGGATTGGAGATAGCAGCAATTTTTGCCAGAGCATGAGAAGCCTTTATCTTGCCAATTTCTGTGCCTTCCACAGCCAGAGGTATCAGGGCCTAGTGACACACAGGAAAGCATTCAGTGACTCTGAGGAGATTTACAAGATTGCCTTAACATACTAAAAGAAGTTAAAAAGATCCTAAAGATGTGTCTGTTGAAGAATGGGTCTGGACTGTAGCCCACAGTGATGTTTTGCCTTTGTCCTCAAATAGGCGCCATACCAGAGCTTGTAGCTCACACACAGTTGTTTCAAGGAAATCGCTTCTTTGGAGGCTTGCAGAGATAGGACTGGAGTGTCAGTCTGGGCCTCAGGGGCTACCAAGACAGCTCATGCTTTTTTGTCACCTTCCCTCAGTGTAGACACATTGCAGGCTCCCAGAAGATATTAACTGCACATCAGCTTGGGCTGCAAACATAAAAGTAATCACCTTTCCACCACCTTGAGCGACGATGGTCCCGCGGTCCTTGGGGTCTTCACACAAGGCAAGAAATACCCTGCAGAAGCACAGCATCACTTAGTGAAACAGCCATGCAGGAAGGCAATAACCCACGTCCCTCATGAAAGGGGACTATGGTTTTGTAGGAGTGACAGATCCACCAGGAATATTTCAGTGTTTAACCCAGTGCCCACAGCACTCTATGAGAAAGCAACAAATGGCACAGTAAGAAGTTTCCAGGCCTTGTAAGATAACTCTATTCCAGCAAAAAACAGTACAGAGGACTAGAAATTCAAAATGCAACCTAGCAAGGTAGCTCTGTAAGCCAGCTTCAGGGTCAGAATGTGGATTTTTGGGACACTGTTTAAGAAAAACTCACTTTCATCCCTCCCACATAGGCAGAACACACCACCCCACTAAGCAGGGAGCCAGTCCACAGCACACAGGCTGGCCAGCACTCCTGGCTCCCAAGAGAGCGATGAAGGCACCTGGCAATGAGCTCCTTGCTCTGGTCTGTCAGTATGGCACTGTCTGCCTTCACCATGCAGGCCAAGGCAGAGACGACACCAGCTTTCAGCAACCGTTTCACCCGCTTCACCACAAAGTCTTTCTTGTCCTGAGGGGGAGACATTGGAAAGGGATTAGCCCCTTAGCAAATGCCATCCTGCTGACTACAGTCAAGCCTGGATGGAAAGCAAAAGCAATTTAATCTCCAAGACCTGAGCTCTGTGACAACAGATACATCAAAGAAAGTCTTCAGGCGCGAGCACCTCCTCCCAGCTCCCCAGCTGTAGACAACCTACCTTCGGATGCTCCTCAGGCACGTGCTGCTTGGAGAATTTTGCCAGTTGCACCAGCTCTGGGACCAGCTCCTTGGTATCATAGCTGTTGGTACAGTTCACCAGTGCAGAAGCCACAGAATACAAGATAGTCTTGTCGCTTGTCTGCACAGAAAAACAAATGCTTATGTAGGGTGAGGAGGACGCAGCAGTGAAACAGGTCCCTTAGGACTGTGACTGTGGTGGTTTATACTAGCTGAAGTGTTCTGAGGCTTATCCCCAGCTTTATAACCCAGGGCAGGGAAAACCAAAAGTTTTTATGGTCAAAGAAGCTGTTTGACATCATCAGATGCTGTCAACACCTTGATGACTGTTTTTTTTGCAGTTGCTGGCAGTAAAAAGCAACCTTCTTCAGCCTTGGGACAGAGCAGGATGATAACAACCTTGAGGTGTCTCTGTGGCACAGGCAAAACTGGAATTATGCTAAACTAGAGGTGAGGGGTTGGGGTCACAGATCCTCCTGCCTGGGCAGAGAGCGTTGAGCTGGAGAGCTGGGAGAACTTGATGCTACCAGAGGAAAGAGAGAACAAGTTAAGGAGACAGACCTTGGCTAATTGAAACATAGCTTGCAGGGCTGGCTCATCTTCAACAAAGTCATCTTTCACATCTGCATCAAGGGTTAGAT